GTCGAGATCGAAAGCCCTCGTATCTCCGTCCCGCGAGATGGTTTTTTCTTCTTTTGCCTTCTCGTTTCCGCACTGATGCCAAAGCGTATATTATTATGTAATAAGAATATTATTTACCGGAATTTCGGTTCAAACATTTTTACCGGGATCCGAGACGTACTTAGTTTGTGTGTATATTTTATTTTTTATTTTTTCGTTTATTATCAACTTTTTGCGTGTGATTTGGACCTTTCGGACTCGAAATCGTCGATAAAACGAATACATATTATTATTGTATTTTCTTTATAATATTCTAGTCGACAGCTGTAATTTAACGTAACTTTAAACTATAAATAATACGTCATCTGCAGTCATAATAACGCATTATTCCTACCGACAATTTGATCATTTTATAAATCACGTATTTCGATTGGATAATAATTATGACTAACTTTTTAGTGATGCCTCTAATTGTTATGCGCATCTTAATTCTTAAGTAGGTAAACAATAATAAATAGTAAACAATTATGTATTATTATTAATTTTATTTTTTAAATATATAATTCTTAATAAACTCAAGGATAGGAGGAAATGATCCTTTTGTTGAATTTGTACAGTATTTAAAATTCAAATCTAGAAATAAAACTTTATAACAAATTAAAAATGTTTTTATATAATTATACTCATACAATTGTAAAAATATTGACAAAACTGATGAGTGAACATCAATCAATGTTTTCGTCCTTAAGTTATTATAGTATGATAGTAAAAGTGAATTTAATATATTATTATAATAATAACAAAACTCAAAATTGTATATTGATTAAGAGAAACCTTGTATTTGCACGGCTATCCTGCAGTGTATCGAAACACTGGGAACCTTGGTTCCTGGATAGGTTTTTCTTTTTCTTAGAAAATCGTTTTCTAAGAAGTTTGGTTCGACGGTTGAATAAACGAAATTTCAAATATTTGCAAATTGTTGAGATGTAATATTTATTATATCATATTTACGCGGAAAATCGATCGAGTTGGTTGTCTCGAATTCACGCAGTTGTGTGCGCGCATATTATTTCTGATATTATTTTTATTATTTTTTCATTCGTATTATAATATTTATTGTTCCTATATTTTATCGTTACTTCAATCGTGGAACGTACCTACCTGTATAATTGTATTGTGTGTGCATTAAAATTTAAATCGAATCGCAATCGATTAATCGGCGATACGAGTGCGGCGCGCACACACGTGTAACATAATATTATTTCCTAGTTAATAAATTATTTTTTATAGGTTTTTCGCTCTGCGGACGATTATGATTTTTATACGCGTTTATTATATGGGTAGGTACCTACATAATATAATCGCGAGGCCCGTTCTTGAAATTTATGTTTTCCCATTAAATACGTGCTATTGATTTCTTTTTTTCTTCCACTCGATGTATCCGATTTAATTTCAATAGTCGAACGTTTCTCCTCTCGACAATAATTATTATCATTACCGCAGTACCTACGTTACGATAATTTTAATATTATATTGTATTATAGGGGTACAGAATAATATATAATTAAAAAAAAAAAAAAAATGATAACACACATAAACACGACCGCGGACCAAAAATTAGCACAATTCTATTCACTCGGAGAGCGTATATTAATAAATATTAGCACATTTATGTTAGCCGTCCACATAACCGTCGCCATATCTTCTATGTTATACTACCGCGGTTAGGAGAGATAGGGTCTGCGATGTTACAGTAAACAGTTGTTACATTATGGTAGTCCAACGCCTTACCGCGGTAACGAGAAGCAACCGAAATCTCGCCCGAGCGTGTTTGCGTGCTCGTGTGTACCGCATATTATAATGACGCGCAATTTATCATACTTTGTGGCGTTACGATAAATCTCCATCCATGTCTGGGACGCGTGTGCGCTTTATTTATTTGTTGTTAAAAGGTCACATCGATCGATCCCGTCCTGCGTTATATTATTATTATTATTATTATTATTATTATTATATACACGCCACGATAAAACGAAAAATAATAATTTATACGACAGACCGACGGCGACGACGACGACGACGATGACATATTATTATTATCATAACGACGGTCGTAACATCCGACAGACTCTTCACGCATAGCGATTTGCCTGTTCAAGTGCGACCAAAAAAAAAAAAATATATCACTGGTTAACACCGATATGGAATGAGTACAACTTGCTGTTATATACATGTACACCGCATTCGCAATTAATATCATACCGAGGTTAGCAATTTCCGCGTCTCCGAGTCCGTCACAATAATTATAACGTATCGGCACAATAATATCAAAACAGTTATCGTTATTATAATATAATTCGTAATTTTTATTTCTGTATACGCGTGTAAAGGCAAACCTACCGCGAACCACCATACCAGTGGTTAACCGTTTCGTTTCCATTTTTAAGTACCTACCTAAATACATTTTATACTATATTATGTCGTCGCACATTGTACGATATGCTATGCGTCATAATAATATATTATACCCATTATCGATTTCAATAGTTGTATAATGTTGTATATCCGGTAGATACGCGTTTTTATATTTGCGATTTCAATACATACCACTTCGATACGTCTTATAAACCAATAAACCACATAGGTGGTGTACTTCGCGTATGTTGCCTACCTTTTTTTTTTTTTTTTTATTGATCTTAAGCTTCGGCAACTGAGGCCATTAGCTGTAGGTTGTGGTACTGTAGGGTTTTTGGGACTGTTGGGTTACTGTAGGGTTATGGAACACGTGTGTGTTTGTTTGGCAGAATTTCTAGTGGGCACCCGTAGGTTTCTGCCATACCCGGTTGGGGGATGGCGGCCTCTCTCTCCAGACACCGTGACTGCCCGGAGAGAAGTGCCACCCGTGACCGAGATTCGAACCGGCGACGGTGCGCGTTGCGACCGACGCGTTATCCACTCGGCCACTCCGTCCCCCATTTGCCTACCTTTGATTAAAAACATAACGATGTATTTTATGTTTATTTTGTACAATTTGTATAGGTTATCCAATAACAGCTAGTACACCTATAATTGTTTTTTTTAAATTATACATTATGTGTGTAGATAGCATGATGGTTATTTTTTGAATAATTCGATACCGTGACAACCTATATGTAACATATATATTAATTGTGTTCATTTTTTCTAACCTTTAATTATTTATTTGCTTTCAAATAAAATACAATAATTTTGTTGCAACCATAATAGGTAAACAGTAATAAATAATAATATATTCCACGTATTTTATACTCGATAAGTACTTATTAATAACTTATACTATGGCCATCTAAAAAAATATCATACACGTCAAATGTTTGTAACTTGGATCAGTTCTAATTGATAAGAACAAGATCAATACAACACTATTCATGACAAGACTAAATCAACAGGTAATGAGGTTGTATACTTGTATTATCTCTTATACCCACTACCATCGATGATTATAAAATATTAAAAACTTGTAATTGTTACTCATTCGAGATGGATTTAACACTAATTACAGTTTTTTGAACTCTTAAAAATATTTAGAACTTATTAATTCCTCGTAGCCATACTCGCAACGGTTCCCCTTCATCGATACGAAAATATTTATATCCACACCACACGTCTTAGCACAATATATTATTATAATAATTGGATCCGAGTGCGGTTTCTAATGGTTTTGCAGTCCAACAAAAGTTGCAATTTATTCTCTTCTGCAGTGAAGTGAATTTTTAATTTAATAAAATAAATACAAAGCACAATTTATTTCTAGTATTTTTTTAATATTAAGCGTGTTTTTGTAGAATTGCCGTGTTCTTGCAGTAGTAATTTGTATCGTTATATATTATATTGTATATTAATTCATTTTACGTTATTACAACAAGCATCTAAAATAAGACTTTGAATGTCACATGTCATTACTTCAAAGTGTTTTGAAATGTTAGATGTAAGCAACGTTTCATTATCCTCTTCGCACCAGTTACACAATGTGAACACTGTGTGCTCGTTGAAAATCATTAATTAATGTCTTTAAAGGTTAAATTCTGATACAAACATATTATAACGGAATTGGATACAGTTTTGTATCTATGCACCTTATAGTTGGTATAATATAATTAAATTTGATGATAAACAATAGTATCAACGATATGCAGTTTAAATGTCGCAAGACCGTTTCGTCTACTAATAAGTAATAACTCTTTTTTAAAGTTACTTGCCACGCGTAATATCATTCTTCAATCTAGCTAGACTTTGTGTCTGGGAGATTAAACAGCGAATTTATTGTGTACACAGCAATCGAAACAAAACGCCAACGTTCGACCGGTTAGTCTTCGTCTGGATTTATACAACAATAATACTATTATTATATTATTATCGCAGTCGCCGGCCGTGACCACCGATCTCCGCCTCCAGAAATGCCGTTGTCCCCGCGAGTATCGCGACCGTCTCTCTTTTTCAGGAGGAAATTATTTTCAGCGAAATCGAGATTGGTTATCTACTGATATAGTATGCACGATAGATTAATAACTATGCAGCTGCATGTACACCATGTTATTGAATATTACTATTGTGTTTTATATATTTAAAAATATTTTTATAATATAATACGCACGCGATCGTCGACGACGACAGTTTTGCATTGACATTTGCCTGAAAAATTAAAAACAAATAAAAACCTTCGTACCCGTCGTCGTGGTTATACCGCCTGGTTCCGGTCGCGTCGTCCGACGATATAATTTCCACATTATTTTAAATAAAAGATAATTCGACGTGTCCGTGAATAAAAAAAAAAAACCAGCGATACGTGCAATATAGGTTTTATGTTTTATTATACCTGTATTATAACATTATTTATAATTATAGTGCCTAATATGAAAAAGTATATTATTACCTATACATATTTTACCGCACTGCAACGGCGTTTCGTTTTGTTGCTACGTCCGTTTTACATTTTTTATTTGTGCACGAATTTTCATGTACTTGATTTTTTGGTTTCGCAGGTGGTAAACCATGTGGGCAGAATGAGCCGCGGCCGGAGAAAACTGTTGGGGTACGGGCTGGTCGTCGGCACGTTACTGTTGCTGGCGTACAAGCTGCGCACGTGCCCCGAACCCGAACCCCAAACCATGTTCATGTTGCCGAAAGACGTGAGTATACCGCACATGATATAATGTTCGACGGTATTATATTATTACGATACCTGCAATACATTTATTTATTTTTTTTAATTTTAAAAATTGTTTTACTCGTATAACTATATGACCGAGCGGACTTGGGATTCTTGCTCGTACTAACCTCGTCGCAGTTCCGGTGACGGTGGTGGGTGAGCGGGGGTCGCGCCAACTAATGCATCGAGCTTTAATATAATAATAGAACGCATGCAATTTTTTTTTTTTAAGGTGCGTATTGGTTATTACGGTTTTACGAAATTCCATAGATATAGGTACATTCTGGAAAAAAGTCGTCTAGAGCGCCGGGTCGTTTTTCACTGATCTAATAATATTTTACTAGTTTTTTTTTTTTAAGTAATAATAAAATCGATTTCTATTTTAAGTTGTATATGATATAGGTACGCGTTCTACTGCAGTGGAAACGACGGCTAAATAATAAAAATAAAGTGCTAATGGTCTGACATCGTTTTTTTTTTTTTTATCATTTTCTCTCTATAGATTTATTCATATTTAATTTACGTATCTGTATACAGAATCCCCCACGGGAATTTCGCCGATTTTAAGTAGTTCTCGTGGCCGCAGGGGTAAAATATCCCATACATAATATAATATTATCGGTCTTACCGTTTTGAAACATTATAGATTCCTATCGTGGATCCCTCTCGTTACATCATTGATCATAATATTATTATCATCATAAAGTAGTATGTGATGTGTAGCGCTATGACTCAAAATTAATGTATTGAACATTTTAACTATCACAAAACTTTTTTCCTCGCACATATCGACCCAAAATAATTAAAAATAATGTATCAAATTTATGATAGATTATATCGTGCAGTTTTACTAAAGGCAATTTCAATTTCTAGAAATTGCCAACTATCTATAATTAGCTATATATATTCAATAAAAATAAAGACTACTAGGTATTTTTTTCTTACGATAAATTGTTTTTTTTTATACTCTACAATAGCGCGATTATTGCAAAATTTTGTTTGATTAATAATTATTATTACATGTACCCATATTATAATAGTATAATATTATCGCTTAATTATAAATTATAATAATTTCTATGCACCGCAGATCCGGAAGGTCCCACGTTTACTGCGCTCGCAAATTCTACATTAACTCTAAACGTACAATTAAAAGATAATAATATCATGACGTCTTCAGAATTGTTATTACCCAAATAATACAATTTTTTTTTTTTACCTTACATGCGTAGTCGTAAATTTATTTATAAAATAATATATATATATATACGTATACATATTATTGCTTACTATAATATTTTCTATATAACTATTTTAATATTATTTATCACTGTAAAATGTCTCTTTAGAGCTCCGTTCTACGCATCAGTTACTCTATACAATATTTTATATTATTACCGATAATCACATGGCAGATTCTGTACACATTGACTTACTGTGTGCCATAAGCAGGCCGCTGGGTGTAAAAATTTCCTTGTAAAGATAAAATACGATAAGAAAAGCGTTTTGTTTCGTGTTAAGTTCATTAATATTATAATCCATATATGTTATAACTTATTTTAGTGCGTCTGAATAAAATATAATAAAATATTATTATAGCCGCGAGGGGCAATGAAATAATCTATAATCTCGGTGTAATAAATGTAATAAATATATGTATTTATAAACCCTATACTACCTGCAAATAAATTTGTTAAATTGCATATACCTATCTAATTAAATAGAAAAAAAATCTTGTACGAAAGTCATAGTATAATATGTATTTTTTTTATTTTATGATAATTTCATGTAAATCGAATTGAACTATAAACAATCGGATTCGTCGATAACTGTCAAACTACATCACGACATATTTTACGATGTCTATATATTATAATACGTACCTATATATGTGCACCTATAGACGTTCTCTTTGTGTTTCTTGAACATAAAAAAATACCTTATACGCGTATCATAGATTCAGCTACAGATTGCGTTAAAAAAATATTTTTAAATTATATTATTTTTCTTTATACGGACGCGTATTTGTATCACCTTACTCACTGGGAATGCATAACTGAACAGGACGATACAAATATACAATAATCATTTCTGTGGTAATAACGGGCCTGCTTTATGGAAACATTAAGCATGGCGTGCTGCATTTTTTTGGGAGAATGATTTAGAGTCGCACTAAAAGGATGCGCATGTCCGGTTAACATTTGAAGCCGAGACCGATTAATCACTTAATTCGTTTTGCCTATATATCATGATGAATCACTTTGAAACATTCTTCTTTATAAATATTGTAAAGCTTACGGAATTTATGAGTCGTGTACTCGTGTAATATTTCGTAAGACGTTTTCGGATTTCCGTTTTTTTCCCCTCTTACAACAGTATATTATGCTCAGTATTATAATTTATTATAATTTATAATTACACGACTGTTACAGGTTTAAACATCGCGTGTGTACACCCGACACACGAGAATTCGAATTCCTTGTGTTCAAGTTATCAATTAAGGTTTGACATTATTTTAGAATCTGAATGAAGTGACTAACGAGGAAAGTGTGGTGGTTTTTTAATGGTGTGTTTTTTTCATGTATAATTTTATATTTAATATAATTTATTGCCAACTTTTTTTCGAGCAGAAAATTTCCAAGCCTCTTTTAGTGATAGGAAATCGATTGTATATTTTATTGTTCAGACTTTCAAGAGATTATCTACTTTTAATTTTACAATTTGTTTCTCTAAACGCGAACAAACTATACCGACAACTATTGAAAAAAATAGAAATGAAGAAATGTCACACTGACCGTAATTTTGAAAAATAAGAGTTAACATAGTTTTAAATGTGAGCTCTGTTTTAAATGAGTTCTGAATCTTTTCCAATACTATGATTTATAATTGTTTTTAAGTTTTATATGACAATATTTCACATTTCCTGTTACGTTTTATTGAGCATACAGTGCAGAGAGACAAGACGGATGCTCAATTGAATGCTCGGTTTCTATACATATTCAGCATTTTTGGAAAAAGTTTATTTCAATGGACATAGAGCGTTTTGTTTGGTGTAACACTGGATTATGATGTTGTGTTTGACCGCCAACCACAATACGTAGCTATTTCATTGTCGACTGTTTAAAAATGACAATGTCTAAAACCATCGTGTCCCCGAAAAATATTTTCAATTGGCCCCATTACCAATTTTTCGTGATAAATATTTTATAGGAATAACATAGTTTCAACGTTCTACTACCGCGTACCTACCTATTCGTATGTATTTATTATATACACGTAATACTGTTCACTTCCGCACATTGAATTTTTGTATCGGAAATGAACACGAATTCGTGTAATGAAACAATTATTAACTATATTATATATACGTCCGAGTATACAATATTGTTTGAACAACAAAAAATTATATTTTCGTCTGCTCCCTCGTGTACCAGTATAATAGGTCGTTGTGTTATTGTTCTATTATCGCCGGTTATTTTTCTCTCAGACTCATTCCTCTATAAAATAACAAAAGTTTATTAAAATTCCAAACAGCCGGGACCGCTTTCATGCTCTTCCGTCGAGATTCTTTTTTCTTAAATGCTTACATTGTTTACGTAACAGAACAACAAACACAGCGCCGTCATTTTTAGTATCGGACAACACTAAAAAAAACTTGTAGAAATCTTTAGATGACCTACACAAAATATATAATATTACAATTTATAACCATGTCGCATTATATGGTATATAATAATAACTATAAATGTAATGCACTGGTGCAATAAACGGGAAACATCCCCCGATCCGCGAACAACGCCCCTTAGGTCGTTATTAACTATTCATATTGCCAGTTCTAAATTGTATTTAGTAATAATAATGGCATTAATGTCTCGGCATTTACGTTGAGAAAAAATAAATAAATATCTGGTCGCAGAATAAGGTCGTGGTGGAAAATAATTTTGTAAAAATATTGTAATTATTGTTAAATAATTTTTTGTGTTTCTTTAAAATACCATTAGAGCGCTCTCATGGGCGCCCATTGAGGGGGGGAAGACAGGGCACTTGCCCCCCCCCCCCCTGGAAAAAAATATTATGAACTTGTAGCTCAATTAATATTACCACAATATTACCTTATTACCGAAATTTTTTATTTTGACCTCCCCTAAAATGTTATCTATGGGGAGGGGGGGCGCCTATGACTATCAGCGCTTATTGTATTGTTATTTTCTTTCAGAAATTCGTTACCGACGAAAACATGAAGATCTACACTTATGATCGAAACATGCCACTAATATTCATCGGCGGCGTGCCCAGATCCGGAACTACGCTCATGAGAGCCATGTTGGACGCCCATCCGGACGTCCGGTAAATATAACAGTTGAAATATACATGAAAAACAAAAACAATTATTGTACAAAGTTGCCAATTTGCAGTTAATAGTTATGAATTCCGTAATACAATGCACATTGGTTTTGTACTGAAAAATTTGGTTGATTATACAATATTCATATTATAAATATATAATAACAATGTTGTATACCTATATGACAATAGATGACCTACCATAATAATAATAATAATTATTATTATTATTATTTTTATTATTATGTATTTATTTCATCAAACAAAAAGGCATTACAATGTAACATTCTTTAACAAAATTGCCATCTTACAGACAAATCACGAAATTAGATAAATGTTGATCAAATTAGCTATATAATATTATATTTATTTTATAGATATAAAACCACAATATATTCAAATATTATGTTATTTTATTTTATTATAAAATACAATAAACTTGGTATACACACAGAATTCCAACTTTACACGAATGATTAGTTTACCTACGTATTTTGCCAGCCAGTCGTATCTAGTTGCTGTAGAAATCAAGAGATTATCGACTTTTGTATTTTCAATGTACTATAACTTAAGTTATTTCTAATTTCTAATATTTAAACACAATCTCTAACTCGCTGGTGCATAAACGTTCGGTTACAATATTATAGTGAACGGATATCGGTGTTTGTCCTTATACATTTTAATATGATATACCTTCAGTAAACATAGAAAGGTATTTCCGGCTTAATGCACTTATTGTTCGGTCGAGTTTCTGTCGAAAAACTTAGGCGTAAAAACATTTTCATTGGATTTACGGAATACCGTCCAATTGGACGAAAATATCGTAGGTGTGTTACGATCTGCGTGATTAGTAATTTTTAATTGGTTTATTAATCAGTATATTACCCGATATCAGTATTTATGTGCCTATTACCTAATGAAAGCGTATAATTGCAATATTACGATGCACTTTTTGACTCGGACCGTGCGCTGCAGGTGTGGCCAGGAGACCCGGGTGGTGCCAAGAATCCTACAGATGCGCAATCACTGGTACAAGTCGTCCAAAGAGTCGCTTCGGCTGAAGGAAGCCGGGGTTTCTGAAGAAGTCATCAACTCCGCTGTAGCTTCATTCATCCTCGAAGTCATCGCGCGACACGGGGTGCCGGCACCCCGGCTGTGCAACAAGGACCCGCTGGCGCTGAAGTCCATGGACTATCTGAAGGTGTTGTTTCCCAACGCCAAGTACATATTCATGGTTCGCGACGGCCGAGCAACCGTCCATTCGATCATATCGCGTAAAGTGAGTTTACGTTTTGAAAAAAAAATGTTATCGATTAATTTTTACCCCTAAACATTTTTCAGTTCCCACGTACGAATTAATTGTGCATAGATAGTAAATATTTTACGGTTTTTATTGTTTACGTGTATTATAGCTTTAAACGTTAAAATACATTGTAAATGTGTTAAAACTTAAAATTTGTTTTTAAAAAACATTGGTCAGTGCTTTGTCAAATGGACGCGTATTTGATATATTTATATGTTTTTGTTTTTATTATATTTTACATTTCCATTTATCTGTCCGCCGTAATAGATGAATTATCCACAGTCAATTACGACAGTACATTTATTTTTACCATTTGTTCATTAAATATTTATCTTTATAAATGTTCTTGCGAAGTTAGCGATATGGATGCTGTTCATATTTTATAACAGCGAATGCTGAAGCTTTAGGTCATGATATCCGTAATCTAATAACAAATCGTGTATCAATAAACCGTATAATATTATAGTGTATTATGTAAATTGTCATAACGTCGTATTATCATATATTAGGTATTTATATATAGACATTATACATAACTACACGAGACCATTGAGTTTTATCGATTTAAAATGTTAATCGATGAACGCATATCGCCATTATAGCGATTTGATCTCCAGTGCTGAGTCTCGAAAATGTTTTCGTTCTTTGTGGTATACCACAAAAGTATTACCTATAACTTAAACGGTTACCGAGTTAAATAAAAATCTACGTGTGCTTTTCTATTTATTCGACGACGCATGTTTGTCTTCACTTGTTAAGCTATACACTTTTTCGGAATTGCGATCTTGTTTTTGTGTTTAACTTAAACAATATAGGTACATAAAAATGCTAATAAATTCCGAGTCGATACTGTATACATACCATGGGCACCCGCACGAGTGCTCTCAGTGGTGCCCAATATTTATTGTATGAAATTCAAACAAAATAAACGAAATAAATGTGATGTGTACTTATTGAATTATATACCTCTGTGCGAGTATCGCATTACCCTATGTCTTTATCTAATGGACATTTTAAGTAGGTTAGAGACGTTTTATTAGGTGCGAGACATTTTCTTATAGTTTAAATAGTTTTCCGTCGCACAGATAATGAATATGATTGGAACAAATCGTCGTCGCTCGACGAACGTTATAAATAAATATAGTGATTAATATGACGTGTTGAGCAAAAAAACTAATTTCGTTCACACCTCCTTTTTTTTTAGTGAAAATATTTACTCAGAGTCCGAGCTGCAGTACATCATATAACACACGAAAACTAACTCGGATGTGAATGAATGCTACGATATTTTAGATATCGTAATAATTTCAGAACTTGTTAAACTTTAATAATTAAACTTTGTGAATAAATCAAATAATTTAAAAGTTTATTTACGAGACTGCCTTATACAATATTTAATACGTTTACGATGCGTTAATTTTATTCAGCTCAAAAACGCTTTCATAATTCATATTAGTTTATTTTCGTTTCGACCTAAAAAGTATTTTCTCGTCGGTCGTTTTGCGGCCCGCGGGGTGTGTTAGGCTATATTTCGTATATTTCTTTAATATATACAATTTGAATATTGCATTAAATATTGTGTAATCAATTATGTGTACCTATTACATTGTACAGTGTGTTATGGTTTAATTTGTCGTTATTTTGGTGGTGGTGTGCCTTAACGAATATTATTATACGCCGCTGTGAGCAGGGTCGCTGGGACTTCAAAACTTCGGACAGTCGAATCAGTTCCTGCGTCATATCTGACACTTCATATTAATATATTTTCTAGTTATAAAACGAGGTGATTAATATTTTGATCGCCGAACGATTTCATTCGATCCGACGGACGAACGTATACAGTTCGATTTGCATACAAACGCCGTTAGTTTGTCGAAAACATTATGAACGTCGTATAAATTATAATCAGCTCTTGCGAGACTATATAGGTAGGTACTAAAATAATTGTACTCTGCAATGTCGAACACGTGTCAGTGCGTTATAGTTCCTTTGCAGAATAAATAATCTAAACGATCCGAATTAACCGTATGCAAGTCATACCTACTGCTTATCTTTAAATAAATTCCATTCGGTTTATGTTTTTCCGCAAGTCTAGTAAACGACAACATTTGGGTTTTTCGCAATAGTTTTTGAAGCCTGTTTATTTCTCGTAGATTACTACGGTATGGTACGCGTATGTGAAATACTAAAAAAAAACCTCTCAAAACCACTGCAGTGTCGTTGTTGCAATAACTATTTCACGTGTCACGATGTTATACAAGAGTATATATAATATAATTATGCGCTTATTATGTGTACCGTAAAAAGTTACGTTAATTGTTGTATAATTAAGTTTTATTCTCCCAAAATCTTTATTCCTTTATGATATTGATATCGAGGAATTATTAACACAACTCTTTTTCGCGTTTTATACAGGTGACAATCACCGGTTTCGACTTGAACAGCTACAGACAGTGTCTGGAAAAATGGGACGACGCCATCGGTGTCATGTACAAAAACTGCAACAAAGTCGGGTCCGGGTACTGCCTGATGGTGTACTACGAGCAATTGGTGCTGAGGCCTCGGGCCACGTTGACCGAGATTCTCAACTTCCTGGATATCCCGTGGAACGAGACGGTGCTCCACCACAACGAAATGATCAACAAGCCCGGAGGGATCGCCCTTTCGATGTAAGTCCACATCCCGACCGTGTACCGATGTTTGAATTTATTATATTTTTTTTTCGTGGTAACGTTTTTAGGATTTTTCCTAACCTCATTTTAATTTCAATACATGTATATATATATTAGAATATTTAACCAATCATGTATTGACATTTAACTATATGTTTGAATAAGTGAAGTAAATCATCAATATTTAGAAGGGTTTCAATCTTTCCCTGCATAATCTACCAGGATTTAAAAGTATGTACGAAATTCACCTGCTAGGTAGAAATTTATAAGAGTTAACTTAATATTTGGTTTTTTTTTATACGTTCGTATCTTGAATATTTCTGTAGTTCATAATTCGTGATTTTTATATAATGTAATAATGTAATTTGATTTTCAATTTTATCAACCATCTGTCATTCATCAGTTTATTAGCATAGACCGCCTCATTTTATGCTCTATATTATATGATTTTTCAACCAACTTCATACCTGCTTGTACATCGTTTTTTGGCCACTCGTCTCAATTTTTTTGTAGGACACTTACTAATTAACAAAATTATGTGCTTTAAGTATTATTGTAAAGAGAAAAGAACGCTTAACATTTTTTCCCCTTGATTAGATTTTCTACACTATTTATACATTTAAAGTAAATAGAGTACAATTAAATTCTTTTCGCCCAGCTTATTAATTGTATTTGTTCTGTATCCAAGATAACTTATGTAATAAGTAATAATATGTATTTAGAAAAATATTGTCCGCATCAGAATAATATGAAATCAGAAAAAAAAAGGAAGTTGCTGTAATATTATTGATACACCGAAGCCCAAATGATATTTTCAACTCTTAATTTAGAAACCCCTATGCGAAAGATATCCCACAATATCCATAACGATAATGGGCTGTAATAACCCTTACAGAAAAAAATCTCGTCTCAACAACATTTCCTAAAATGGTGATTCATTGATTTTCCCTGGGATAAAAAAAAAACGAGCTTAAAAGTTTTCGATGGAATTGTATCTTTGCCACAGACGTAAGACATCATATATTAGAATAGGCAAATACGGTAAGAGATATTTCCTATTTTTTTCCCCCGTTATTTAGATGTATCACATCTTTCGACCGACACATCAGCAGTTACGTACCACATGTCCCGAAACACTTGTGTAGGCGATTTATTCATCAGCGTGTGCATCGCCGATAAAGGTCATATAGTTTAGGGATATAATATGAAAGTCGTAATTTAAAAATAAATGCCATGTTTCATTATTCAGGCAATTAAATAAAGAAAAAAATTCGATTTCGATGATTCTGAAGATACCTAAATGATTATAATTCTGCAAATATTTACTTCGAAAATGTATTGTATTGTTCAAAAAAAAACAATTCACCTCTAAAGTATACAATATTATATTAGATTATTCAATGTTTATATTGCCACACGTGTAATAAAGTAGTATCTCACAAGTTATAAAATCGACTTAAACAATGTAACCACCTTGCACTGGTTTTCTTGTAACTTAAAAAAAAATATCTCTTGATTTCACTTGAATTCGTCGAACACCACTGCCGCACTAAGTGACCACCGTTGAACGCCAACGATATAATAATACGATAATTATTGTATTAGTTAAGATAGTTTTCCAGCATAAAATATCGAATAAGGCCCACGAAGCTTATGCCCGACCTTGCAGCTCCTTATTTGTCTATGACAGCGGTGGACTCTAGGGTCAGCGTTCGCCAATAATGGACTTCACAGCACCTACCCGTATTTTTTTCACCGTCTAATTATAATATTAACAGGGTTGTACCCTCTTATACTCTATTACTTTCGCCCTTTTTTTCCGCCTACAGTGCGCTCTGCCCTAACATGCTTCTTTCACTAATTGTGACCGTCCCTTATGGATATATGTGTTTAATTAAATGATTGTACGATGATATAAATAATAGTCTATCGCTAAATTATTACTAACTTACAATTATGATATAAATACTCACACATTGTGAAATCAACATCACATTCATGGCCGAGTTCTGAATCTAAAACTATAGTTCGAATACTATACCTATTGATAAGTGATATTCATTTCCAAGTGACAGTCACTCTCAGAAGCCGCCCTTAATAGCCACCCTTAAAATACTCCCTTCACTGTAAACGCGTGCCTGATTGGTATCGCTTACGAGTGAAACCAATCAAAGTTTCCCTGCTCGCTATACAAACTGTTTATAAATAATAGCCTGCAATGTACGTGACGTTTATAACTCTTGTATTTCCCCGCAGGGTGGAACGTTCGTCGGACCAAGTGGTCAGGCCGGTGTACCAAGAAGCATTGACCAAATGGGTCGGTCAGATACCCGACGACGTGGTCAACGACATGGCGAACATCGCACCCATGCTGAGCACGCTTGGGTACGACCCGGCAGCCAATCCACCCACATACGGCATCCCGGAAAACGAAGCTGTGCCAGAGCATCAGTACGAATCGAGTGCCAGTGGAGACACCACGAAGCACACGACCACGCGGAGGAGGAGGCGGTAGTCGAAAAACTTATATTATATACATGTTTTTTTTTTCAATTATTTCACACTTCTTATTATTGTAATCGTTTTAAGTTTAAATTGTGTGTGTACAATGTACAGGTATCTACTATAATATTATGATGTAATGTACATGAACAAAATAATATTAAAAATATTTTATGAATCGCAGAACGGTTTGACAAACGTGTGTACATAGTTTATATTAAATAAATAAATATATATATATATATATGTATATCATGATCATAATATTAATTGTACGTTTGTATGTATATGTTCTATGATTATAATTAATATTACGATGATGTTGGGTATTATAAATATGTACCTAGTTAATAGTGTCTGTACGTTATTATTATTATTATACTACTGTTCACGTTTTTTTTTAAACAATTTTTATTTATATATATATTTAAATATTAAATTTTATTATTAACTTTCCTTTTTGTACTTAGACGTTGACACCGATTACGAGTGAGAGAGTTCTTGTCTATATTTATAGGATCTGTTTTTTTTTTTTACATTATTGTTATAAGGCGACAATCTCATTAATGTTTTCGACTTAAAAATGATAGATTTTTTTTCTTCAAATATAGTAAGACTTGTATAATTTATAACGTGTTATTTCCTATAAAATGCAGGGCATTATTTTTGTGTTCATTATATTCGTATACACACCATTGTATTAAAATATAATCTCTATCTGAAAACATATTCTTCGATTAAATGTGTACTTTGGAACATTTCCCAATTTAAAATTGATAACGATATCCAATACCATACTACAACAATTTTGACTTATTCATTACAGGTATAAACTTTAAACGATACACTAGGTAAACGTCATAATACCACTGATACAATGACTAAACTGATCGTTGCTACGTACGAACAGCGAATATATTTCAAAATTGAGCAAATTAATTAATTAATCAACCCAGCTAAGTTATATTACAATAAAAACATTTATAAGTACACTTACTTTAAGTCAATAGGTTTTCGTGCTTGTCTTTACCTAATAGACAGTGCCATGATTCCAAAATGCATTAGTGATTCATCATTAACGAAACTATCAAATTGTATTAAAATTTAAGTAATTGGTTTCATTTACTATGAATTGATGAACGTTAATAATATTTCATAGAAACTCGTGACGTAAAAACTGAACATATTTTCTAAAATTATTCAAAAGCCTCATGTTAAGAGGACGTGATACCTGCATGTGTTGTCTCCGTCTTACAAGTGCGTAACATAGCAAATTTTACGCTCAGCAGAACACGTGTAGCTCCGTTAGTTTAAAAATTAGTGCGAATTGACCTCTAATAAAATCTAAAGGTAAGATTATTATCTAGTCAACCTCATAGGTTTTTTATTATATTTTTATTTTAACGCGAGTTATGAGTATTTTAAAATTGTAAATTTTTTATACATCTTAAAATACTTATAACTCGCGTTAAAATAAAAATATAATAAAAATCCTATGAGGTTGCCTAGATAATAATCTTACCTTTAGATTTTATGAGAGGTCAATTCACCTTAATTTTTTTATTAACGGAGCTACACGTGTTCTGCTGAGTGTACAATTTACTATGTTATGCTCTTGTAAGACGGAGACTACCCATGCGGGTATCACGTCCTCTTAATGCCTAGTATATCGCTTACGCTTAACCTATACAGGGTAGTTATTGGTGAGCTCATTATTCTTAGATGAATTTAGTTTTCGAGAAACACAAAAACCTACTATAAAACAGCATGGAATCTGTTTTAAAAGAATCACTTTTTATGTAGTTCCACGCCAACGAGCACCGTTATTCCAATATCCCTGGTGCTTATTGCTGCAGGCGCTGCACATGTACAGATTGTATAATTTTTTAAATAAAAAATACAACTTTTAATATAGTCATTTTTTTTGGTTTATTTAAATGTGATGAAAATAACGCTTCGACGGTTTCATTGTTTTTTGTACAGTGACTTTACTCAAATCAATTTATTACATTCTGCACACGTTTATCCATCTGTTATGCATTTTGTGACATTCAATCAAATCGAATACGAAAATTGCCAATCACCGTCAAAATGTGTTTCGGGACTAATTGATTCAATTCATAGAGCGAGATTAACGGTTAATTACTACTTAAAATATTTAAAGAAGGTACTGAAAGTTTCATTTGCGTTCAATTGGTTACTAGCTAATATTATTATAGCGTTTTGCTTTAAAAATTTCGAAACTGATATTTCCAAGAGATCTATAATATTATTAGTGAATGCCAGGCAATTGAAACTTTGAATATTGAATAATTATTATACTAAATATCAGTGCAAATTAAATGTTACTGAAAATCTATTTATTTGGACAAAGCCTATTAAAAAACAACCAATTTACAAACTTTTATCAGAAAATATTTAACGGTGTACATCGATCACAGCAAATTTTTAGATGATTTTATAATATTCATGGAGATTATTGTAATCCAAAGATTTTGATTGTTTTTTATAGCTTAATTGTATTTTAGTTAATAAAAAAAATACTCTTTTAAGGATGATAGAATAAACATATTTAAATTTATGGCAGGTATTCGTATTCTAATATATAGGTATAGCATGCAAAAAATGAAAAACATTTTAACTGCTGAATCGTTTTGAACAATCATGTTTATTAGATTATAATATTATACTGTCTACTCAAACTAATGTGTTAATAAATTATAAATAACAATAATATTTAATTAGCAACGACAGTCATAATTATAAAGTTAAAAGAAATTTAAATCATTTTTTAAAACTACTGGGAAAATAAACATGAATTTGTTTCGATTTATTGGGCAAACAAACGTTACTAGGTGTATATCAATGCATTTAACAAAATAAATAAATTGAACCTCATCACGTTTATATTATATAAAATCATTAGCTACGGACTCCAAACATCCATGTTACCCTTGGGCATTAATCGTGTGTAAATAAAACATTTAATTCGTTTTTTTATTTTTTTAATAACCTCAAAGAAAAATTTTAAAGTTATCTTATGTATGTTTTTACACTTATTCTTAATGTTTCGTTTTGTACCATAAATTAATGTCAATTTTAAATTATTGTTGAGATAGTTAGCCAATGTTCTTACCTGATATTTTGGTTTTACTGATTTACTGTTGTAATTATTTAAGGCGTTAGGATGAGCGTTGAGTATTGATTGATACCTGTTGGTAAAACACAGAATTAATCGAAATCTTCTGCAAGTGATAAGGAAATACTTTTTAATAGGGTTCCAGCTTTAAATATCCCATCAGCCATTATTAATTCAGCTCGATGAATGTATTCCGTATAATAGCTACAATGAGTCATTTCGTGTTACATTTTTTTTAAATGATACGCTTTAGTATTATCTTCCCTGTAATTACTGTTTTCAGTCGTGAAGTCTTGCAAACATGTAATTCGTATGTCCTACTTTTTTCAATCAAGCATTTTGTTCTCGTCGTGTGTTTGTATGAATTAATGGTCAGAATTATTTCACGATAGGTCAGTTGCTATTATGGTTGTATAATACTTTGATTAGTTCCCTCATATCCGTTTTATGTAAATGTGTATATTATACTATATTGATTTTTAATGATGAATTGTATCAAAATATAATAAAAAATAAATAAACATAATCATTTTGTTGATGAGCTTTTATAAATGGTATTTTATTTAAATGTCCTCAACAAAAATAAACTATTGTTAAAAATATATTTTGTAACCGTACTAACATATAATACACAATCGATGTTCTTATATTTTTTTAGTAATGCTTATAAAAATGTTTAGATGGGTAAAAAGTAAAATGTTTTGGTACTTTTCTTGATAACAGAGAAAACTAAAAAAAAACACTAAGCTGTAATATTATATAAGTGCGCAGACATATTCTTTACAAAATTTACTTGTATGTACCTAATTAAAAAAAAATTACTTACCTCTTGGCATACTTTAGAAAATATTTTAAAGCTATTTATAAACATTTAAAATCTTTGATTTTATTTTAGTTTTCTTCGTATACATATTGATAATAATTTGTATGCTCTGTTCAAAACCTTAATTACTGTTTATGATATTAATATGAATGTTTGGTGTTAGAATTTCGAGCAAGTTACCCAATATACAATTCTCACTCAGTTCCTCTAAAAAAAAGAGTTCTCTTTAAAAAGTTTTTGCTATCTTATTGTAATTCAAAAAGGAATTATTTTAAAAACCAGAAACATTCCATGATAACTTAAATTATTACCTACCTTCTAAACACTATTATGTTTTCAAAATTCTAAAATTAATTTTTTTTTATGATCTATTAAAAAGGTTCACATATTAATACACCAAGAGTTATTATATCTTGTTCTTATAATAACTTAAAAGTATCGAAAATATTATTTTTCAATTTTCTTTTATTAAAGTTAGACTTTTCTAAGTACAAATTATTAAAAAATGTTCAATTTATTTTTTAGGTAAAAATCCATTAAATTTTAAATTTTAAATTTTAATAGCTGCTAAGGCCAGAAAATTAGTTAGTTTTTCGAAAGGTTTCTTTAATACATTAAAAATTTAAAAATAAGAGTACAAATTATTTTTATAAGTATGTATTTTAAATTCAAATTTAGACGTAATCGGATATTTAAACAATGAATAACAAATAACATTTTTTTTTGGCAACTCGCAAAATATTAATAATTATGGCTGGGATTCGGAACATTTTGCAATCATGAATATTATTATTACTTTCTAAATACAGAAAAACTATGAAGGAAATTATCATAATATAGTTAATATTATTGACTGGGTAGTTTTTCTTTTGATGATTAGTTAAATGTGTATTATTTCTACTATAGATATTTTTTCCATTGATAATTTATCCCTTTTTATTTTTACCAGAAATCTTATAATATGTAGTAGTTTTTAATGTAATATAGGCACAATGCAAGCTAGTAAATACCTACACTTTTTATTTGTGCACAATATTGTCATAAATGTAGTTTGTGCAATAAATTAAAAGAAATAGTAATTGATAATTAATATATCAAATACGTTTTTATTTCTACAATACACAGTAAAACAAATTAAATATCAGAAAAAATGTTCTTCAAATATGCACATCTATAAAGGCTAATTTAGGACGGTTATTAGGTCAACTAGAAAGGCAAAATATATAGCACATTTAAATATGACTTGGTTTATCCATAGAATATCATTATATACTAGAAATACGTTATTTTTCATCTAGCATTCTTCCCCCGCATCATTACCTGAAGTAATACTCAGG